TATACTCCAGCAAAATAATACTCTAAAAATTAATATTACTAGTCTACGTATCAGACGTACAAGTGCCTGTTATATGTGATTGTCTGGTGAGCAGATAAAAATGATCAGTTATATAAAATTTCAATAACGGCTAATCACTTCTTATACTCGTCAAATCAACAGCTATTCTTCTCACATTTAATTTCAATTCTCAATTATTAAACACTTTTCTTTGACTAATGATATAACGTAATTTCCCTTCTATCATCAATAGACTATTTTATTTGTAGATTAACTATAAATACGATTGTACAGTTTGAGTAAGTGATGCTGTCGGAAAAGAAATTTTCTTTGTCAAACTGTCCTAATTTTAATTCAATATTGATTAAGCGTTAATGACAAACCGAGACTCCTTGATAAGTACAAGTTGTTTTGAGTAGAAATCAACGTGAAAGTGTACTAACCTCATAATCTTAACAGTATAAATGATATAAACAATAAGTAACCACTAAATAATCAGTTTTCAAATGAACTGTCCTCTATATGCATATGACAAAAATTCTCACCATAGTAAATATGTGGAACACAAGTATATTCATTGGAGATAACTAATCTTCTTCGAATGTTTCCTGCTTTTACAATACCTGACACTAGTGCAAGTAAAATCTGTTTTGATTTTCTCTTAAACTCCGACGATGGTTAGTGAATATTTTACTTACGACACTGTTGTAACAAGTTTTTTTGAACGCTTGGAAACTGTTAAGGAAAGCATAGTGTACATAGAGGTGAAGCATAATCAAATGTATCCCAGTGCAATAATGGGATAGATCATTAAAATTATTTAAAACACAGTAGTGTTTTTATGCACCTAATCTCTTTCTCTTTTTATATACTGATAATCTTTTATTTAACTTTTAACTGGATTTTTTCATTACGCTCTTTTTAATTTACATAATGTACAAGTTTAATGGTCATTAGTGCTGTTTCAAACGTTTACTCTTTTCACAATTCTAAAATAAGGACGAAGATATTAGTCTCGGTGTTTTATTATATTACAATCTTGAAAAAAAACTAGTTAATAGAACTTCAAGTAAACACAAATTGTCAAAATAAACCAACCAAAATTAACGGTCAACTATTGAATGTAGAAATGGTTAGCCCAATAATATAAAGCCTTACCAGTGACTATAATTAATGATTTTAGTTTAGTAAAAGAAATACATGAGTGCCATCATGATTATTTCTTTTTGTAAAAAAAACATTATTATTTATGTTTCAGAAGTCCTCATTAAGTTAATTAGCAGAGGATTTATCAAAAGAATCCATAAACCTTGAAATATGCATTCAACGCATTATAGAATAAACGCCCGCATTATATCTTTTTCACTGCTAACCATTATCAAATATAATCTAAATGCATTTCAATTAAAATACACATTTTACAAATAATTCACGTTTGTTTGTCACTGATCGCTTATCATAATTTTACAAGATTACTATATTTAAATCTAATCTTCATATTTAATAGCATATATGATTATCAGTAGACAAAATAATGGAAATTGTGTAGGTTTGATTAAAGTCCAACGGAATCGAGTAATATAATAATAATTGTGATAATGAAGTTTGTTATTATGAATGTAAACAATTTAATTTATTTGCCATGTGCAGGTGTAAATATAAATGAATGTCTACTCAACACACACACTATATATATATACCTTCATATTCCGAAGGCTTAAACTATTTGTACATTGATGGTCAAAAATCGACAAGATTTCCATCTTCCTTGTGATCCTAAAGTGTATCTTGAGTTGAGTTCCTATCACAGTTATAAAATTAAGTTTGTATGTATTAGCTGAAATATTAGAAATTGAAACATGGAAACGTCCACGCATTTCTTTCAATGCATTTAAAATGTTCGAAGTGTTTAAATTTTCATAAAACGTACGGATTTAAGTTTTGGATTTAGTTGTGGGAACCTTAACACGCGATAAACATTTCAACAAAAAGTCTTAATCATATAATACGGCGTGATTATGAGACTCATTTTTTTATTGTTTTGACTACTCCGATAATAACAGTAGACGGATATCCAATCGTTTTGTAATGTTGTTTGGTAAAGTGTCATTACCTGAACTTTCGTTGTTCCTTATAAAATATTGTTTTATTTACTCCATATGCAAGATGTGTTGAAATATGTAGTGGTAATTTTTTATCTATATTTGTTATATTAAGTATTTATTAATAACGGTTTTATTACTAGTAAAATGTCAAACATACAGCTGTTAAGTGCTTGTATAGATACGAACTTTCATTCATTGTTTGTAGAAATTCATTTCATATTGAAAGCATATCTTAATTATGTTTATTTTTATGGAAACCCAGAGTTATGTACCCGAATTTTACAAGAGATTTATTAGTGAATATTCAAGTCTATGTAGTTGAAAGAAACCTTGACATTCGAATTTTACGTACTGCGATGCAATAATCTTGAGGAATAATCATAACATATTGTATATCATAGAACAATTTGTGTACATTTATCATTTCATAAAGCTGTGCTTACAAATTTACCCGTATTTTTGTAAACATATTTTCGTGTAATCCAGTTCGTTCAAACTTATGTTGATTGTACTATTCACTCTCTGCTTTGTCTTCTAACATTTCAAGACTTCACTAAACATGATTTCAGTTTTCGAGCACTAGTGCTTTCTTCTAAATGTTTTCTCCTTCAAAAGTTGTATATTCGAATAATGGCATAGTCTTTATTAGTATAAACAAAAGCATATTATTTTGAGTTTATTCGTAGCGTTCGGTTTCATATCCTACTGATTACAGAATATTCCCTGAAAATGTTAGAAATTATAAATCACAAAGGTGAAATAAATCTTGCCGCATCTATAGTTTGATTTTTGAATCGATTTAGAATGCTTCGATATAAATTAAAATAATCTGAAGGTAACTTTCATACAATTAGTTTCGTATATCATGACAAACATATATACAGGATACGAATCATTTATTCCCTTTCTTCTTACTTGGCTACATATTAGCTAACAATTTGAAAGGTAAACGTCTATCTCATAGCATTAATAAAACTGTATTTTTTGTAATTCTCGTAGATCATACTTTATTTGTGTAATCACATAATTCATATATTCAAAATATTGGGTAACATCTATCTTAATCTTAAATGTGTAATGTTACGTGAAATAAATGATGAAATCCGTTTCTAAGAACCTGATGTTACGTGAATCAATGATGGAACATTTCAATGCTGCAAACATCGCAGCAGATGTTTATGAAAATAGCCGTTAAATATTCATATTGTCTATTATATAAGCTATAGATGGAGTTTAATGAAAATGCTTCATCAAAGAAGTCTACAATTTAGCGGTATAAGAAAGCATAGAGAAACATGTTTAATAATAGATCATTTTTATACTGGTCAAGATTTAATAATAAGCAGTTGTTTTCCATCGAACGATTACCTTTCTGAATTTATAGCAAAAATTAATTCGGAATACTAAACATGAATCATACTTGACAAGTCTGTAAACGAACATGTTTTTATGCGATTGAGCTACTTAAATAGTCAAACGAAAAAGAAAATTTTTTAAAGACTGAGTTCATTACTATAAAGCACATTTCCCTCGATGCTCAATAATAGAAAATTTTACCCATCACATACATATCTATTTGTAAATAATACGTTATGTATAAATGAGGAGACAGGTTCATTAAAACAACAGAAAGGTGTGTATTTACACAATTTATTGCGTATGATTTCCAAAACCTAAGTCCCCTGATTTTTGCAAACCGTATTTAACAGAATAATGAAGCTTAATCAGTAAAAGTTTACTTTTCAGTGATATCTATGGTTATTTACCATTAACTATTTTTCTTATCTTTGATAGAAAATAAAATTCTTCTTTATCAGAGAAATATAAATAAAACTGTATCTTTTTTAAAATATCAAACAGAATATACAAATCCATACTACTCATTTGGCATCTTTTGAAAATTATCCTATTCATTTTAAGCATCTTGAAACGCGGATAAATGTTCCTTGTGTTACGGGGACCGATAATTTTTGATATCTCTTTAAACAAACTTATCCAGTATACCAAATGATAAGAAGTTAGTTTAATTTACACTGATATTTAAACAAAATAATAATAACATTTTAACCGAATGAATGAACATTTTCTTAATACACCTTCAGGCGAAATTACTTGATTTAGTTAATGTATAACTTTCATTGTCTATAACAAAGCTACTATGATTTTGAGATGGTGGGGAAGATTTGTAGCTCAGGTGGATGATTTTGGTGGAGTTTTGTTCTCTGAACTGGATGGTTTGGTCGTGGAGCTTTCATCGTTCTTCTGAACGACATCATCAGCACAAACTTCAGATAGGAATAAAGTATTCGAATTTCTCCATATGTGTTTCACAGCTTATCCTGTGCACCTCGATGTTGATTGTTTCTTATTATTGTTCCTATATATGAACGAAAATCAAACCAATGGGAGACACAACCAAAACAAAGAAGTAAACAATGATAAATTTAAGGTCAATAAGAACCAATCATCATCGAGGTGTACAGGACAAGCTGTGAAACACATATGGAGAAATTCGAACACTTCATTCATATCTGAAGTTTGTACTGATGATGTCGTTCAGAGGAACGATGAAAGTTCCACGACCAAACCATCCAGTTTAGAGAACAAAACTCCACCAAAAACAAAGCTACTAATTATGATTTGATTTTTCGTACGACTTTCAACTTAACTAAATGCTTGAATAACAAGTAATTGAAGATAATTTCCGTGTTATCATATCACATTAAGAAAAAAATTACTCAGTTCAATAATAATTCTATCCGGTTTTGTATTTTTAATTTTTTTAGAAAAAGATTCTATTGGTTAATCTAGTCAACCAATCATATTTAAGACACTTCGTAATATGATTCTATTAGATTGTAAATAATTTCACTAAATAAATTTGAAGAAGACAAGAAAAAAATACACGCCTTAATCACATTTACATTGTTTTGCATTTATAATGTGATTTTTAGCGATCAACTACTTATATAAATAAATAAATTAAGCGGATTTATAAAAAATCAAGATGTAAAACTGAAATTATTCTGGGTTAAAATTCTTATTAAAACAAATAAACAAACAATCACTGAGGTTAGTTAAATGTAAATTAATGAATATTTTAATTATTTATCATGAAAAATTCTAGATTTTAAATATTGTTTAAATTGTATTAAAAAAATCATTGGGAATTCAAAGATCACCACTTAGACATTTCTGTTGATTTAGGGAATTAGGGAAGAAATGTTTAATCACCTCTATACCATATTGTGTACATTGTAGAATTCAAAGTTTGGTTAGAAGTTTAATATTGTTTATATTTAAGGCAGATAAGTTATCTTAAACTAATGAACACTTTACTTTGAATAATATAAATAGAGCATTGTAATATGTTCTCAGCTGTGTAAAGAGTATGTAATAGCACTTTTTATTCCTTAGCTTACGTATTTTTATGTCTTCTGGTTATCATGTCAAAATTGCATGGTAGTTATATTCTTGAACATATCTATTTACTACCTTAATTATTCATGTGGAGCCAATTTTATATCTGAAATATGATTGAAGTTTTTTGTATTGTTTGTAGATATAGTTTTTTATGATTTATCAAAAAAAGGACGACAGGAATAAAAAAATTAAGTTAAGCCCCTTTTGATGAGGCTGGACATCAAATGAATTTGAAAATGATTTTTCGAGATCTTAGTTTCTCCAGCTTGTGCTTCGTTTTAACTCTTAATCTTTTAATTACTTAGTAATACATCTTTATGCATTTAAATGACATATATTAACAAGAGAATAAAGTAATCGTTAGGTTTACATTTGTTTGACAGTTATCTGCCCGAATAAATAATTACTATAACGCTATCCTGACGTTTCCCATTTCTTATTTTATGCTTACGTAATCAGTTCTGTCAAAATAGCTGTATAGTCATTATTTTTTATAAATTCCAGTAACTTACTTATTCTTACATAGATAACATAAAAAGTAGCTTTATACCATTAAGGGATGCTCAGTCCTTTGATTAATATGGATTTTATCTATAATCTTAAAATCTGTAAATTTATCCGAAGCCATTTTTGGAAGTTATTTGGAAAGGACTACGTTTTTGCTCAATTTCTTGCTTATGAATTTTCTTAGTTGAAAAACTCACTTTTTGTATTAAACTTTGCTGAATATTGAAGATTAGGTGCCCTCTAAACAATTAAATATTGTCTACCGAATGAATAATTATCTCTGTTCAGTTGATCGAATAAAAGACCACCCGTATTTCAGTGTTGTTGAGTTCTCTAAGCCAAATGCTTTAAATGCGAAATATCCATTTTCGTTCCGAACTACATCATCAGTCAAAATTTTAGATAATGAAAATTTTAAGTTTCAGAGAATTATTGAAAGAAGGAGATTTAGGTCAATCACTAATCAATAGACACGTCCATTTTTAGCCAATATACAAAGTCATTTGGGGTAGATGAGGCAACAACCTAGTCAAAGGTTAGCGGAACGAAACAGTCAACTTGAACGTAGATATAGATGAAGACAGTGGGACTTACGAGCATAATCAATTACAATAAAGATCACTAAGACAAGCTGATTTTAAGCTCATGAAATAAATGAAACGCTCACTTTTACGTGAAGCAACCACTGGTGATGTTCGGAACGAAAATGGAAACTTCGCATTAAAACCAGCATGCTTAAAGAACTCACCAACAGCAAATCATTCATTTGAGCTTCAAATCTTTCCCAACTTCTCAGAATATACGGTTTTCAGTTATATGACCTCTTTTATTAATTTAAAGTAGTAAAACAAAACCCATCTTCACCAATTATCTCATGTAATATTCAATAGTTCCGTATTAATTTTAAAATAAGACGCTAATGTATTCTTTGATATATACATATATACATAACAGTTGGACAACTGTTTTTCCGTTTAGTTGAAGTGTTTCATAATATATGACCGTTAAGCAGAAAAAAAGGCTAGTACTTGATGCATTATAATCATCATCAGTTGTTAATATGTTGTCGGGGTTTACAAAAAACTATTAGCATGCTTGACTGATCTGCTTTGACTACCTATTTAAAGAAGAACATTTGTTTACTAATTTTGATAACACCATTTCAACATTTCATAAGAAAATATAAATAGATGAATAATGAATCTATAGATGTATTGAATAAATGAAATATTTAGTATCTTAATGTTGAAACGTAGGTTAGAACTTTTGAATCTTAGTGATATTTTTTCAGAAACATCGTTTATATATTTGAATTACCACATCAATTTACAGAATAACTTTAGTGTTTGATTATCAATTCCGTTTGCCAATGTTTAGTTAAAGTGTGTAGCGATCATGATCATTTTGGACCATTACAGATAGATACTTTTCAATCTATTATACCTGTGGAATTAAAACCAGACTACATTTATGTTTTGTTGAATAGTATACATTTTTGTTTAATTTTCATTTCTGACTTCATATGACCGAATCCTAGAGAAATAAGTATTAAATCATTGTGTTATTAACAAGTTTGATCTTCTCTTTCTTTTTACTGACGTTTGTCGCACTGATGTATCCATGGAGTATTTAAATGTACATGTTTACATATTTCGTTGAATCGCTTAATAGATCTATCTCGACAAACCAACTGTTAAGGGCAACGTCTAGAGGCTGTTTACAGTTTATTACAGCCATGATATACCACTAAACTTCACTTTTATATGCACATAATAATGTAAATCCTATAAAATATTTTGCGCTTAAATTGTGAAATATTGAAATATAATTTAGCTATCATTCATAGCTAGAAAATGTATATGTAAGTCATTCAAAGTCTTCGTTTTACTTGGATAATAATGTACACATGGTATTAGGTTCTGTGATCACTGTAAAAATAATTGTAAAAGGAAATCAGAATAAATAGTGTCATTGATGGTTTAGTGGCCCATTATTTTGACGCCAAATCGATTGGACGATAATGTTGTCGACGGGCTCACCAAGTTATTGGCTCTAAATCTGACTCCAGTTTGATTGTATACTGCTTGTTATCAAAATATACATACTGCCAATCCTCGTACATAATCGTCGATTTAACTCGCGTTAGTGAAAAATGGAATTAAATAAGTCAAATATGAGAATAGATTTTGAATATGTATATTTTATGTAATCGTTGATCGTAAAGTGAAGCAAGACAAAATGACACGTAATGGAGAAGGGGAGTAAGTCAATTCAATTTAACCAAGCGTGAATCAATATTTATAGTCAGACAAAAATAAGTTATAGATATGTGATGAGTAAGATGAGGATTGCACACACATACACTCATATAAAAATAGTCAAGGTTTGGCCAGTCTAAAAACTAGATTAACCTAAATGGGCTTAACATAGCAACCGACACTAAAATGGTACTTATGACAATTTTAATAATTATAGTGACACAGTTCACTAACGCTTTTGATCCATAATTAGCAATGAAATAAATTGATTATCATTTTTACAAATCAATACAACCATAAAATGTGTTTCTGTAAGCTTTTCAAAGTATACACATGGTAGTACATACATTTGTCTTTGTTACGATTGTTAGATTTTTCCTCGTTTTTTTTCTTCCATTATAACAGAAAGTTTTAGGATGATGATGTTTTATTTCAAATCATTATAACTGCAATTCTTTATGATTCAAGTAGCATATTACTTGTTGAATAAACAATCGAAATCCATAATTGTTTCTTCTAGTAAAATTTTATTCTTTACAAAAGAAGTCATTATTTAACTGGATACAAAACTATCACATAAAAGTTTGAGCGAAATTCAGATTCACCTTAAGTAAAGTAATGCATCGATATAAAATCTGAAAATTAATAAAACGTGAAAAATACCTTTAGTGATGAAATGAATCATACCATGGTCAAACCTAATAATCAGAGATAAACATTATTAAGAAACTGAAGGTAAACCTTTTTTCATATTTCTTAGTTTTGTGAATGAGCAACAGTTTTAAATTCCAAAGTATGAAGACATAGTTATCCAGTGCTCTATGATTTTTAATAGTACGTCTGTTGATGCCAATCTTTGACGGAAATTTATCTACAAAATACTTAAGTTTCATCAAAATAAAGTATAAATACTACAATTGATTGATCACTGGGTGGTGATCAATGTCATGCTTGTCTAGTCCTTATTAGTGCAGATCGAATGCTATCGATCATGTTGCAATGTGGCCACCAGTCTAGGTGACTCGACACCAGTTCCCTCAAGATTACAGGTACACCTTGCTGACGAGTGCCAAGTAGCACGAAACCCGGGTCCAGGGCTTCCTGTTGACTACCTCCAACCATCATCTAAATCTCAATACATAGTGCCCGCAGTGTCGAGTCACCTAGACTGGTGGTCACATTGCAACATGATCGATAGCATTCGATCTGCACTAATAAGGACTAGACAAGCATAACATTGATCACCACCCAGTGATCAATCAATTGTGATTACATCTCAGTCCTACAGGAGGTTAGTCACGGCTCGGATAGCTCAGTGGTAACGTCTCTGACTGTGAAGCTGGGTGACACGAGATCGAATCCGCCAGGGAGCACCAGTTCCCTCAAGATTACAGGTACACCTTGCTGACGAGTGCCAAGTAGCACGAAACCCGGGTCCAGGGTTTCCTGTTGACTACCTCCAACCACCATCTAAAAAGTATAAATACGTTTAAGTCAGCCTGATCAGTTGTCAGAACAAAAGCGAAACTTGTTTGGCTGACGATTACTGACAATAATCCATTTACTGACGAAAGCCGATTAAAAATAGACGAAGTGACAATTTTACTGGTTAGAAAAAATGGGTTATTTACAACAGCATAAATTAAATACCTTTCCGTAGTTAGTTTTCTTTACTAATGTAAAAAAGTGATTTCAGAAAATGTGAGGATATAGCTATATATTGTTACATTTCTCAGCTACAAGCTAGCTAATGATCCTAGTCGCATCGAAATTTTATACTATGATTAGATCTGAAATTTAAGACATGAGTTGTCAGTTTTTAAAACGCTTGTTTAAAACTAGGTTTTTCAAAGGCGATCCTATGAAATATCTTCAGTGACAATT